TAGGTCACCAAACCAGTTCGTCACATATTTCGGAAGAGTATGAATGTTTCACTGAAACATACATACTTTATATCCAATATGCTTTAGCTATTGGATATAAACCAGGCTTTCACTGAAACATTCATGCATGACTCGATAGTAAGCGATAACTGAGTAGATCGGAATCAAGGACAAAGTTTCCATAATAAAATAATTCAGATATATTTATACTTGTTGTTTGTATGCATTTTATTATTACTACTCTATTGCATACAAATTTCAAATAATTGATTAAAAACCACATGTATTTATCAGCGGTGACTACTCGCCATGGGAGGCAAGGCCACGTGAAGTACGGTTGGCGCGGGCAGCTTCCGTCGCAAACCGCTCTGCACGGCGCTGTAGGTATCTGCGTTGGTTCGCAGCTCTCTTTGAGGTGTTCGCAGCTACCACACACTTGTGCGTGCCATGACGGCACGATAGTAGTCATTGTCCTCGAGGCGCAACGGCATCATACTTCCAGGACGACTTCGCCGTATTCAGACTTTGCTGGAGGTCCAGGATATCCGAGGCAGTCTGGTTCTGGAGGCGCTCCATCATAGACGACTCATTGAGACGCATGGTACACAGGAGATGAAAGAGATGAATTATGAGTTACGAGTAAAGGTATGGTTAGAATGCACTCTTGAGGATGTTGAGCTGTCGTTGTGATTGACGCGAACAATTTACTGTTAATTCGGCCCACGCAACAGTTACCGTCCGGATAACGAAACACGTCCTCAATACTTACAGTACTACTCCGGAGTAACAGTAAGGTAATGCATCAATTGTTGACACGCACCAAAAAAAAATTGTGAGACTGTCTGGCTTTTAGCCAATAGAATCTCGATATTTCGTGTTAGCCTTGTATGATTGGATATAATAACATTCGTCTCTATATTTTATTACATGTCTCAATGTTGAAGTCTGGTCAGTTTTTTTCAATCTCAAACAAAACAATACAAGCATTTAAATAGAATGTCAACTAGAAACCCTTGAAGCCGTCCCGCCATATATGCCTATGAGAGCGTCACAGCTACGTGAAACATGGAATTATTTATATGGATTTCAAATATCCGTGATAGTATCATGTGTCATCCAAACGTCATCCAACATTAATATTAGGTCATATCCAAATTAGTAGAGATGAGAGTAAATTAGGATTATGCTAGGTCATTGCATACAGGCCTCGTCCGGGAGCGGCACGGCCTACGGCCTACCTGCCGCTGCCCGACAAGAAGAAAAGATAGATCATTCGGTGAAGTGAGAAGCTTAGATCCGCGCTCTCGTACGGCCGCGCTTGCGCAGACGGCCTCCCGGGCGCTCGGGGCCAACGTAAGGCTTGGTCACTACTTTAGGTTTCATCCCACAACTTCATCCAATTTCTTCCAATGTCATCCAAATTTCATCCACATGTCATCCACGCTTTTAATTCAATAATTATATTATATTAACCATAGTATCCAAGGTTGGTATTAATATTCAATGCCGTCCCGTAAGTCTTAAGTACTCACTTTCGAGTCATCGCTACCATAGACGAAGAAGAAGAATTTTATTACGTGTTGCGAAATGCATGCAATTATACTTT